AAAATTAAGTCCAATTAAGTTTAATGAAATGAAAGTTGTTTAGAAACCAATATAATATAGGTTAAAATAATTTCAACGCTTAATATTGATAAGCGAGTAGATTTTTAACAATATATAATATTAAATATACACTTAATTTATATAAATTAATAGATATTTTTCATTTAACTACATAAATATAGAAATATTATCTAAAAGAATTTAAAAGTGCTAAGGTGAAATTTTAATAAAATGAAATAAAATCAATATCATATTTGATATTGATATGGATATTTAGGCTACTTTAAATAGAAAAATTTAATCCTATCTATTTGGGTTTATGAAAAATTAAATAAATTATTCATATATAACTAAGGAATTAACTACATAATTTATCATTATTTCTTCGAAAAAATATTAGTTCGATTGTTAAGAACATAAGTAGACAAGTACAGCATAAATTACTTTAACCTCAAAAATATATGGATTGTGAAATTTTTTACAATATTACAGGGTAGTTGTGAAAAATAAAACGGCACATGGGCGTTTTATGCAACCACGGGAAAACCGTCAGCGACAAAGCGACGGTACAAAAACGTATAACCTTAATCGTCAAGTGTGTTTGTAAATACATGTGTATCCATGAATGTACAACTCACCTCGTAGTAGGCACCATTTTCAAAGAGCACCTCAACTTTAAGATCGTCCATTATGAAGTTGAGACTGTTATTTCTAGTTTTGATGGCAATACAGTTGTTAACGAGGGGTTTTTCTGTCACACCGTTTCGTTACTGTCAGTTACTGATCACACGCGCGCGCACGGCAGTAGTGGTAGAAATGATACCACCGCAGTTGTCGGTCTGTGTATGTACGTGATGTCTAAAGTATTAATTACTTAAGGAAACAAAATTAAAAACTGCCGGCAAGTGTCTATATAGTTTAACATACAATGTTCTTCGACGTTCAATTTAATGATTTGAGATGTATACACGCTAGAACTGTATTACTCAAAATACAATTTAATTTTACACGGATAGATGAAATTCCGGTTGCCAAAGTTTGAAACAGGTTAATACCGTAATAATATACCTGATCAGCAAGCAATGGGCTGCCAGCAGATGTTAAATTAACGACAAAAACGCGTACCTTTTGTTAAAAACAATCACAAACGGAACGTGTGTATTAAAATAATATAAAAAAAGTACTCTATTATATAAAAATAATAATAATTATGTAAAATGTTGTGTTTCATATGGTTCTAAAGTATTTGGCCAATGACGGTAACGCGGCTTCACAGTGTTACCCGTCTCTCTAAACTTGAATTGCCCTACTTCCCAGTATATTGTAGTTGTTCTCCCTAATTTTTTGCATGTCAATTTTATTTCTCTGTCTAATCTCCTGTTCAATGACTCTTATTTGTCGTTACCATTAAAAACATTCTAATCATTTAAGTTAACTACTTTTGGCTCTTAGTTGATGAATTTTGCGAGTTCAAGTTGGAACTATTCCAAAAAATTCGAAATGTGTTTTAGAGATGACCAATATATATATATCGATATTATCAAATATTGATGATTGTTTCATATTATATCGATATATATATTAGTGGCGTATTCCTTACTTCACCTCGGAGGGGGGTAGATACTAAGGTAGGTCAACCCTTTTAAAAAAATTGTAGACATTAAAATAAATATATTTTGGGCGGCATTGCTCTATCATCTCTATCAAATACGCCACTGTATGTATAAGTATAAATTTTAATATTTAATACTAGAGATGGCCAATACATATTTATATTTTGTGACCATCAAAAGTGTTTTGTATTGTACAATGTTATCATGACATTATTATACTCGTTACACGTATTAAAATTGTTATTTTCTAATATTATAAAAAATCTGGATATCATTAAATTACAAAATATTTTAAATATATTAAGCAAATTTTTACTTCAAATTTTACTACTTAAAATTTATTAATAAATAAATATAAATTTGTTTTAAAAATGATAGTTATCATCAAAATAAGTATTAATGCCATTGTATGTTAAGCGCTGAAGATGAAATTAGTATTTTCAAAATTTATACGTCAAGAATCGGCAGCACATGACCTGCAGATAAAAAATAAAAGGCTCATCAATAATATTTTATTTCCATCTTTGTTTTTTAACTTAATGATGATTAAAAAAAATCTGGGTATCATTAATTTATACAACTTTATTCGCTGTACAATTTATACGGGGGCGTCTTTCAGTCAATTTTATGAGGAGGATTTTAAATATTTTTATCCATTAGTTTGGAAATAGTGTAATTGGCGCAAATAGTGTTTTGAACACTATTATGAGTGTTCCAAAGGCTAACAACAATTTTTCTCATTACGTTCGAAATAATGTGCCTAACCGATTTTTATCTATTAATTGGTATTACCTACCTGCGTGAGATAGTAATAAATTGTATAAATATTAATGATATAACTAAAAATACAATCTAATAGTATTAGACGAATAAATATTTTATAAAAAACAATTTTTAACAATTATTATTAAGGAGATAATGAAAGGAAAGGATTTTCGCAAGTTCAATTTCTTGAATTAACAGAAATGCTCTGTCCACTGATATTTTATCGAATACAAACACACCATGTTTTGTGTTAAGATAAATTTAATACATTTGAAGAAAGTTTGTATCTAGACTGCACGTAGTATCGATAATAGATACTTAATATTTACCGAATAGATATGTAATATTTTCCTATTGTTGTAGTTTATGGAAGACATAAAAAATTGTTATTTATAAGGAAAAAATATTCTAACGGAGCTCAAATATGAAGCTTATTAGAAAAAGAGATATGTATATATCTCCTTCTCTTAGATGATTTATTTTATGACAATTTTAATATTACTTTAATTAATAAAATTTGAAGATATTCATAAGGCCTATTTTAACTGTATAATAAAAGCATTTTTATTGATACAAATGCAATTTTTTTTAATGTGATAAAGGGAAATGAGATTGGATTTAGATATTTCCAGATTTTACTCTGGAAATACCCCACAAATGTATGAAAATTCACCAAATAATTTATTGTATTAACCTACTTTTCTCTTCTTAAAATAAGTTCAATTATAAAAACTAGAGAGCAGCACGTTAAAAAATGTTATAAATACCATTTTACTATTTTTTCACTTATAAATCAAATCTTTTAAAGGTCTTACCATAGATTAAATACATATGTATTTAATCTATGGTCTTACTCAATACCCCGCACACTGTTCGCAGTTTATAATTGAGCTTATTAAGTTGAAAACGTTACAAATATTATCCACAAAAGCGTTATTCAGGAGAATTTGAGGTTATACGTTTATGCATATAAGCATAGATTAAATATGTATTTTTGTGTATTAAATATGTGTATTTAATCTATGATATAAGCAAGTACACAAAATAGATGGATTAAATCCATTTCGTTTTAAAATATACCTTTATAACCTCAAATTCTCCTAAAAACAGCGCTTTGCGGACATCTGAAATGTTTCGACTCAATAAGTGGAACACTGATAAGAACGCAGTTCGTCAACTTTATCTTTTAAAGCCATTACTTTTAGTCACGATCAGTCGTCGAAATGAAGAGAATCCCTCTTATCATAAGATTGTATTTAAAGATTGATNCTAAAAACAGCGCTTTGCGGACATCTGAAATGTTTCGACTCAATAAGTGGAACACTGATAAGAACGCAGTTCGTCAACTTTATTTTTTAAAGCCATTACTTTTAGTCACGATCAGTCGTCGAAATGAAGAGAATCCCTCTTATCATAAGATTGTAAATATGGATGATAACTAAAATTATCAAACTCTGATAAAATTCAGTTAAGACTACGTTAAAATATTTATTTTTAAAATATTAAATATAGTTTTTTCATAATGAAATCTACAAAATATTATAGAGACTTTGATTTGGAATCTTTGAGTATCACTCTTAAATTCCAACAATATGAATATGGTGATGTCAATTGTGTAGTGTGGGATGCAGCAATAGTTTTAGCCAAGTATTTAGAATTATTATACATTGAAAACAAAAAAATTTTTTCATCAAAAAGAGTGTTGGAGTTAGGATCAGGATTGGGATGTGTTGGGATCACAGCTGCGTGTTTCGGGTAAATAATAATTATAAGTTATAACGTAAACATAAAATAAGAAAGACAGTCTATAAAAAAATAATTCAAAAATTGTATTTGAACATTGAACAGTTCCATTGAATAAAAGGAGTATTAATAGAAATTCAATGATATAGACATTATTACCCTAGGAACATTTTAATAAACATCATTTTTTTATTTTTTATTTTAACACATTAAAGATAGTTACTTAATTTATATAATCCTTAATACGTAATTCTAAAGTTTGATATTCACTTAAAAAATATAAATTCAAAAAATGTACAACATTGTAATATTTATTAAATTTAACCAAAATTTAGTAAATCTTTTGTTTAATACAAAATATTTTTTTTTGTAATATTGTTTTAGAGGAGAAGTAATTTTAACAGATTTGCCTAATCATTTACATCAATTACAATGTAATATTGAAGAAAATGCAGTTCATTTACAAGGTAGAGCTAAATCCATTGCATTAAAATGGGGTGATAGATTAGAAATTGATCCTTTTGATGTGTTATTAATGGCCGATTGCATTTATTATACTGAAGTAAGTGTACATTTTACTAGTTTATGTTAGTATTATAAAATAGTATGGCACTTCTTTGTAGAAGTATACAAACAAATATGCACTAAAAATAGTAGATATAAATGTAAATAAGTAAAAGTTTTAAGTAATGTAACAGAAGTGAATAAAAATCTTATTATTTTAAGGATGTATATTATTTAACTATCATCATATTTTTATTAACTTCCAAGGTTAGAAAAAATACACAAAAAAATATTAATAAAAGTTATTATTATGTTTGCCAAATTATACTATTATTGAATTTGTACAATCGTTATATTAAAATATAAAATCACAAGTGTACAAAAAAAAAAAAAAAAATGTTTTACCTAATTGAATATAAATATTTAGGTAATACCAGATTTAATTAAAACAATGGTAGATTCAACTACATCACAAACTGTTATCCTGATATGTCAAGAGCTTCGAGATACAGAAAAACAGAAAACTTCATGGAAATTATTTGTGGATAAACTAATGCAATATTTCACTATAACATATATACCAGAAAAAGAACAACATCCTATATTTAGAAGTTCTGACATTTGTATAATAAATGCAAAAAAAAAATGTAATTAAATAACAATAAAGATTTCCACCACAACCTATTTCTTACTTAATTAATTTAAGCTCAAATGTAATGAACCCATCAGTGTTTCAAGAACGTATAATTGATTTTTTTTATTTAACTGCTTCTTTTCACTGAAAAAGTAAATTTAGTTAATAAAACTTTTAATAGTTAATCTCTAAGTTATATTACCTGTACATATGTTCAATTCGTTTCAATGATAAGGTAGCAATTTTTTTCAATGTGTTTTTTTTTGATTGTAACTTTTGTGAAAAAATTAAGCTTCTTGCTGTCTGTTTAAAAAATTAAAAAATTTGAATACATTTTCTTAGATAAAAATTAAGTCCAATATTTAAACCACACCCAAAAAAAATCACTCATGATGAAAATATTTATCACTTTACTTTAAAAAGTAAGCAATTTAGTTATTACATTTAAAAAAACAGTAGCACAGTGTGGACGAGGCATATGTGGGACAAGTATAGATGATATCTGACAGTGATTAAAATCACTATTATTAGAAACGCTTCGATGCAAAATTTGTAAATAGTGTTTCATTTTAAGAGATTGGTAGATTATTTCAAAAGCGACCAGAACTTTTAATCCGAATTTATAATTATAATAATTAAATTTAATATGAAATTGATATTCAATAATATAATATTGTAATTTTTACAGAGATATTATAAAAATTAAAAGGTGTTGTATATTCATATACTTATAACGCGTATAAAAATTTAAAGGGATTGATGCAATACTTTTTAATAAAAAAATTTTGTTACTTATGAATAAACACACTAAACTACAATGAATTTTCATCAGAAACAAAAATACACTTTTCTAAAACAACTATTCGCCATGTTTTCAAATGTGAATTTAAACTTTTTATATTACTTCTAAGTTTTAATATTATTACTTATTATTAAAAATTAAGTATTTGCATATAAAAAAAAAATACAAAACCCATAATTTTCATACAAAAACAATTAGCTTCCATGTAATCGTAATCCCTTATGTATTATACATGTATATTAAATCAAAAAAATTTGAATCTTTTTTTGATTTAATATAATTGTGCTATAAAAATAGGGTCCAGTATAGATTTAATCTGACAGTGATTAAAATCACTATCATAAGAAACGCTTCGATGCAAATCTGTAGATAGTGTTTAATTTTAAAAAATTGATGGATAATTGCAAAAGCAACATCAACTTCTATTAAAATAAAATACAAAACCCATAATTATCATACAAAAATAGTATATTTTTCAATATGGTAGCCATTTGCGTATAGAAGATAGATCGTCGGGACAAATTTTTTTTTTTCATTTTGTAGTACATAAAATAAGCTTTAATTTTATATATGTTTAAAGGACGCAGTATTTCCGGAACATTTTCAAAAATTAAGTTGAAAAAGTTATTTTTTGTAAAAAAGTTACTATTTTAAATCCTCCCAGTGAGCAGAATAAGTGTTAGATTTTCAAAAAAAATTATATCAAATGAAAGGGAAATATCTAAGGTTTCAATACAAAAAAATATTATTTTTATTTGTTCATTTTTGAAAAAGTTATGGCAGTTTTAAGTACAAAAAACATCCCGATAAAATGTAATTTTTATCGCAAACATTACATTTTTTTTTAAATTTTCGACAGCCATTTGCACATAGAAGATAAGATGTCGGGACAAATTTTTTTTTTTCATTTGATAGTATATAACATAACCTTTGATTTGATATATGTTTAAAGGACGCAGTATTTCCGGAACATTTTCAAAAGTTCAGTTGAAAAAGATCTATGTTTTTTACAATATTTTAAGTTTTGAACGCCCCCTATATAAGGGGAAATTGTCCAATTTTAATAAAAAGTATGTCAAATGAAAGATGTACTTATAATGTATTTAGAAAAAAAAAATTTGTGCTGATATATACATTTTTCAAAAAGTTATAGCATTTTTAAGTTGAAAATTTAAAATCGAAAATCGAAAATTTTAACACAAAAATAGTGTTTTTTTAACTACGGCAGCCGTTTAAATGTAGAAAAAAAAGTGTCGGGACAAATTTTTTTTTTTCATTTTGTAGTACATAAAATAAGCTTTAATTTGATATATGTTTAAAGGACGCAGTCTTTCCGGAACATTTTCAAAAATTAAGTTGAAAAAATTAATTTTTGTAAAAAAGTTGCCATTTTAAATCCCCCCCAATGAGCAGGTTAAGTGATAGATTTTCAAAAAAATGATATCAAATGAAAGGTAAATATCTAAGGTTTTAGTATAAAAAAAAATTATGTTGATTTGTTGATTTTTCAAAAAGTTATGGAAGTTTTAAGAAAAAAAAGTGAAAAAATTTCGAAAATTAGCGATTTTTAAATTTGTAATTTTTTTGGATATTTCCCCCATTTGCGGGGAACGAGGGAATTTTTTTCAATTTTTAAGGGTAATGTCTTCAACTAGATACGATTTGTGATCTTTTGACGTATTTTTGAAAGAAATCGGTCCAGTGAGAGCTGAGAAAAAGTGGCAACAGACAAAAAAAAAAAAAAAAACACATCATAGTAAAATTAATACCTTCTCCGCTTCGCATCGAAGCTAAAAAGTAATTAAGATAAAAAAGAATTTTTAAATTAATACTGATTTTGATTATTAATATGTTAAAAATAAGGAAAATGACATATTTAACCTATTTTTTTAATCGTTTAAAGTTGATTTTTGTGAATGTCTATAATAAAAAAAAATTAATTTATTTTACCATAAGTTTTAGCTCAATTGGCAAGTTTGGAATTGACATCATTAAATAGAAAATTTTTTGAGAATTAAAAAAATTGTATCATTAAGATTAATATGCAGTTATGTAAATTTTATAATTATTATTTATAGTAAGTTAATCAGAAAAGCTCAATATTTTTTTGCATTTTTAACGTAATAGATAACTGAAATAGAAATAATAGTAATCATTTTCTAATAACTTTTGGTTTTTAAAAAGATTCTGCAATTGAAATATTCAGAACTTAATTAATTTTAATGATTTACTTTAACTAAATGAATCAATTAAAACAAAGTTCCTAAAAAGATTTACTCAATTGAGCGTATTATATAATTTGATTATAATTATAAAAACCCATTGTTAATTCAGGGGAAACTAACAATCATTTTTTTTTAGAAATGATTTATATAGCAACATGTTACCAACAAATTTGGAATATTATAGTCTAGTAGTAGCACACACAAATGGAGTAAAAAAATAATAAAATTACAAAGTAAAATGATTTAATTTTGTATTTGAAACCTATCATATCAAAATTGATTTGTCAATAAATATTCTGAAAACATTAGAAATGAATAATTTTAATTGTCTGTATGGAGAACATGGGATAAGTAACAGTTTCATTGATAAATTAGAATTTTTTTTCAATTTTTGAGGGTAATATCTTCAACTAGATACGAATTGTAGTCATTTGAAGTATCGTTGAAAAAAGTAGGTCAAGTTAAAGCAGAGAAAATAAATGATAGTCACAAAAAATATCTTTTCAGCTTTGTATTGAAGCTAAAACTTAAAATATAGTAAAATAATTTTAATATGAATAAAAAATTTCTTCTCGCGAGTGGCGACTACAGTGATGGGATCCTTGATCTTTATTGAAGTTATTGAATCTAAATGAGATAAAAATCAAAGCAGTTGAAAGTTTATTCTAACTTAAAAAAATGCAAAAAATTCATTGCCATACGCGGCACAGTGGAATGAAACGCCGATTTAGGCGGCCAAAAGTATCATCTTTTAAAAGTCACTTAAATTTTTTTTTTTTAGCTAAACACATTAATATCATACTTAAGGGTTTTAATACAAATTTTCAAGGGCATAAGTTGATTTAGTGAAGGTGTAGAGCTATTTTAATGTTATACTTCTAAAATTTATCTGTATTTTCAGTTATTTTGAGTTTATTTTTGTACATTTTTTTTTATGCCTTAAAACATAATTTAAAATTAAAAAAAATTAAGAAAAGATTCGTGCATTTTTTAAAAAGTTATAGCATCATAATGTTAAAAAATGTAAAATATAATATCAAGAATTTTTTCATAAAAATTGTATATTTTTGCATATGGTAGTCATTTTTATCATGAAGACAAGTCCAGAGGTCAAATTTTTTTTTTTCAAATTAAAATATATTACATAATTTTTAATTTAAGGTATATATAAAAGTGTCAGTCAGTGAACATTTTTAAAAGTTTATTTTTTGTAAAAAAGTTACCATTTTGAAACCCTTCCTGTGAGCTAGTAAAGGGTCAAATGTTCACAAAAATATATAAAATGATAGGTAAATACTTAAGGTATCTATAAAAAATATATATAAAATCATTCGGTTATTTTTAAAAAAGTTATGGCAATTTTAAGTAAAAAAATTAAAAATTTTTTTGAAAATTAGCGATTTTTAAATTTGTAATTTTTTTGGGGATTTCCTACATTTACGGTGAACAAGGGAAATTTTTTTTCAAATTTTGAGGGTAATTTCTTCGACTAGATATGATTTGTGATCTTTTGACATATTTTTCATCAAAATTGGTCCAGCGAGAACTGAGATTGAGCGTATACAGACACAAAAAAAAAAAACACATCATAGTAAAATTAATACTTTCTTAGCTTCACATCGAAGCTAAAAGTTAATGGGTATAATATAAGAATAATTATTTATTTTTAACTAATATGTTTCAACTACTATTTATGTTTCATAAATATGTACTAACTATCATTCCAAATTAAATGTGTATAGTAAATCTATATAAACATCATCATTTATTTTTTAAGTATTTAATGAATTTAGATTAACTTATATTATAATTTATTTTTGAGTTTACTGCTGTTATTTGAATAATTATTACTTACTAAATAAAGACCATACAATGCTCTGACATTATTAGGATTAAGAAGAATGGCATAAGAATAATGAGCACGAGCCAATTCTAAATTATCAGTACCTCCCTAAATAAAAACAATAAAAATAAAATCAATATTAGCAAAACTTACAGTTTGGGAAGTTAGTCACACAAATAATAGAATGTTATTTAAAAACATGCTATAAAAAATATTAAAGTTTATTTTGAACAAAAAAAAATAAGGAGAGTTCTTCTTTAAATTTCACTAAATTAAAAATGTATTTATAAATATACAATGGTGGTCATTAACTGGTTAAAACGTTACAGTTAAGTTAAAAAAAATTAAATTTTTTTTTAACTTTTCAATTTAATTCATCAAATTTTCCATTGAAATAACTTAGCTTTTTTCAGTTAAAAAAGTTAAAAATACATAAAAAATGTATGTTTTTAAATGCTTAATATTAATATTTTCTTCCCATTCAGTTAAAAATCGGTTCTTAACTTTCCCTTGTATCACTGACCAATAAAAAATAATTTTAAGAGATTTTAGCAAAAAAATTAATTTAAAATGAAATAAATTTTTTTTAAACTATGTAAGTTAAAAAAAAGTTTCAACTTATTTTATTACTTGGCTAGTTAAATTTATAATTTGGTAACTTTAAACTGTTAATTTATAAACATATTTCATACTTAAGTTAACAAAACTTGAGTTAATTATTTCAATTAACTTGCCCATCCTTGTAAATAAACATACATTCATTTTAAAAATTATCAGGGAATAAGTTTTAATGTCAGTACATTTTTTTTTCCAAAAATTTTATACTGTTTATATTATTACCATACAACAGTATTGTAGTATTTTATTTATTTCTAAGGAAATAAAACAAAATGTGTGTTTTTTTTTTTTATTATTATTTGTCAAAATAAATTAATGTATAGATTAAAAGATTTTATTTTGATTGTAAATCCAGTAAATATATGCCTACATGCGTGTATCGAATATCTGCATGTCGTTGATGATACAAATGGTTCTGAGAATTGTGTAAAATCATTTCTTCCATACAGTAAGCTGATTTTGCAAATTCTCCTTCTAACAAATATAAATTACTTAGTTCTTGCCAACCTTCTTGGTCAACCATAAATCTGAAATAATTTATATAATCTATTTAATATTTTGATTTTTTTTTAATGAGAGCTTATTATAAAAGTTTTTACTTCTTTAAATAATCAACAAGTTCTTTGATGGCTTCACTTATTTGACATTTTGCTTTTAATATAGCAACTTTATGTCTTCTAGTCTGAGCATTAGTTTCATCAGCTTTAATTAATTTATCAAGTGCTTCTAATGCTTCATCATACCTATGGTTATTAATAATAAAACATAAAAATATTATTTAAATAAATAAACAACTCTTATTACTTTTCTTCAGCTTCTAAAATAGTTACAGCTAATCTACGCACTCTAAGACTGTCTGGAAATTTATTTAGTAGCATCTGCAAGCATGATTTTGCAACATCAATACGGTTACAATCACAAGCAGCAATTAAAACCTGTTCCAAAACTAGGTAACCTAAAATTAAAAATACATTTAAACACTAAACCCAGTCAAGTTGATTATCTTAATTAATGAAATAGAATATGAGACTATAACACCTACAGAAAAATTGTTCAACACATAATTAGTAATATTTTCTCGTCATTTTAATATTTGAAAGGAATTTTATATCACATTTTAGCTTTATTGGAACACTGATTTTAAAACTTAATTTATTTGACCAAATATAATCTTTCTAATAAATATGTAGATTAAGTTTGGTGCGACACTAAAATGATTTAAATTTTTTTTAATATTATAAACTTATAAATTAATAATTTATTTTTTATTTTTAAATTTGTTATCAAGTATTGAATATGTAACAATATATATCACTGTAGGTGAAATATAAAAAAATCAGTCATTAGTTAGAAATTTATAGAAGTTCTTAAACTAAGTTTAGATGTTGCATAATTAAAATTTTATTTGTTAAAAAAAATTTTTAACTGTAAGTATACAGATTATTATCTACTGGAATGAGTTTGAACTGCTATTTTAATGCTAAAAATAATTTTCATATCAATATTAATTTTTTTTAGTAATTAGACTAATTATTTCATTATCAAACTGCAAAATGTATTGTATTACCATAAAGTCTATTTTTAAATATTTTTTTTATTGATTATCAAATTCAAAAATTAAAGAAAATAGCATGAAACGTGCACATTAAACAAATTCTTAAATTATCCTATAATCCTAAGAATATTTTTATGCAATAACTCACGATCATTTCCAAGACTTTTAATTTTTTGTTTAATTGATGAATTCCATAGATCCAATACATCTTTACTTTTACGTTCATTATTTTCTCGGTATTTTTTAAGTTGCTCTTGAGCTTCTAAAATAATATTATAATCAAAATATATATTGTAAGGAATTTAGTTTGCTAATAATATCCTTTTTACCACTAAAATTAACCATGACTCAAAATTTGTTTATTGAAATAACAGATTTTAAAATATGATTTAGAAAAATATAAAGTTTTAAGTATAGGTATTTAAAAAACTAAATTTTTATTAAACTAAAATTTTTGTTTAATTATACTTAAAATGTATATTTAATTATATTTAATCATTTTTTATATTTGATATTACTTTTAAGAACACAGATATAAAACTGTAATTAGTACTGTTTGCATGATGCGGGCGGACAAATTGATAAGTTACAGTGTTGCACCGACTATATTAATTTCATTTAAAGTGGTACAGCATAGCCAAGGTTTATAGATTACATTTGAAAATAGAAGATAACAAGTTATATCTTTCATAATGATATATTATATTATGTTATCATATATTTGAATGATTTTGTATGGCTGATACTGTTGTAATCATTGTCGTAGACGTTTTTCGATAAAAATTTGAATTTTTTTTTGTTTTAAATTAATTAAATTACCTAATATTTTTAATGTGTAAAAAGGTCTTAAGAAATTCAGTACTTTTGAGAATTGTACTGATCTGTTGTTGCTGAAAATTTTTTAATGATCTAAAAATATGTAGAAAAATAAGATAGTATATTTATTTATAATCAACTAGTATTGCTGATTTATTTTTATTTCGATCAATTAGCAATGAAGTGTGTCATACCCAAGCAAAATTTAAAAAGTAAGTAGTAGTTTATTCATGAAGAAATATTGAAAATCGGTTACACCTATTATTGCAAAAATTTATAATTTTGATTTGATAAGTTATAATAAATTTTAGTTATAAATAGAAACCAAATAATCTTTGTCATTTACAGTTCTATCACGGGCATTAAATACTATGTGTAGGATTGGTGAAGATTTGTATATTGAACCTAACTCTACTCAACTTGTCATGCATACCACAAATAGTTGGCATACAGTATATGCATGGTTTACATTTGATTCATCATTTTTTTCTAGTTATTATTTTACTGAAGATGATGAACAAAATAGTGAAAATTCATTGAAATGTAAAATTTCTCTTAAGGTAGTATATAAATCAGAATAAACTTTTAATATATATGTATGTGTATGGAACATTAATAATATATTCATTTTTTATGAAAGTCTTGTATTATGATATTTAAATCTCCTCATCTTGCCCGATGTTTGGAATCTTGTCATATAGAAATCAAAAATAATGTAGACAATATAACTATACAATTACGTTATTCTAATTTTTGTATAAAAACTCATTTGATTCCAGTACTAGAATATTCAGCATTGCAAGTGAGTAAAATAGTATCAAAACTAAATGTAATACATTTTTTTTTAATGAATTCATATATTTTAGGTTAATCAAAATGTAGAATCATCATATCTTCTCTGCATTGATTCTAAAGCATTATCAGCTGCTGTAAAACATTTTCAGAATAATGAAACAGATATTACTATGGAAGTAACATCTGAAAAAGTCTTATTAAGAAGTCACCCTGAATCATGTCGAGGTAATTAATTATATTCTTATTATCAATTTTATATTGTAAATAGATTATCATTTGAAATTATAACAACTCTTCCACAAAAAAAATTCTGGTTATTTCTGCTATTGATTTATTAATATTGCTATATTAATTTAATTAAATTAAAAGTGTTACTCCTGAAATCAAATGCAGTTTGGGCCCTGCATATAAGTATTAACATATAATTTTTAATTATAAATATTATTAAAAACTTTAAGATATAAGAAAAATGTTACGAACTGAATTGAGTTTGCAATCATCAGAATTTGAAGTATATGATGTTGGTAATGGAAGTTGTGTAACATTTTGTTTAAAAGAAATTCGACCATTATTAGCGTTTGCTGAACACATATCCATTCCAGTATCAATTCGTTTCAGTACCCCTGGAATGTTGGTATTATACTTAGAGTTATAAAATTTATGTTTAATTGTTAAGATCATATTTTATTTTATCTTAGGCCTATGGTGTTTGGACTTAAAAATGGCTTGACTTTTGAAGGACAGTACATTTTATCAACAATGACTGATAATTTACTTACGGGTAATGGTGGTTCTTTACCTATTAGAATTAATGTAAATGCTATTGAAAATACTCAAAGTAGTGATGGAAGACATGAAAATAATTTACCAATTAATCATCATACTCAGTTAGGTAATTCACATTTACGCACACCTATGCGTGTTCAAGTAGAATACCCGGATAGTATATCTAGGAAAAGACGTATACAATCAATTAGTGATCAGCCATCAAAAAAATTTAACCCAAATTCAAAATCTATTTTTGAACAAAATTGTATTGATGATGATGATGAACTATTGTCTCAAATTGTTGATTTTCCAGTGAATGATGTACCCAGTGTATCCGGTGTAAATGATGGCCATTTAACACTTGGTCTGTCTGAAACCGGTCGTGTGTTTGCAAGGTGCTTAACTTTGCCATTAATAGAAAAATCGCCAAAAAAAGGGAAAGTAATTGTTTATGATTCAGATGGATTAGGAAGTGAATCCGAATAAACTAATTAATAGTCTATTTTTATGTACAAATTATTTTACATAAATATATAGATTGAGTTATAAATATAAATATATGTTTTCAGTTGTATCTATTGTATATTTGTTATCAATTTGTTATGTTTCATTGATTTTTATTTTTTTCTGTTTATACTACTATAATGTATAAATATGACCAATACTCATTGCAGCAATGGTATATCTAATTCATTAGATGATTAATTTAAAAAAATAAAAACTGTTACAATTAAATAATATAAACTACTATAAAATCATAAAAGAAATTATTCAATTGTTAATATATATTGTATAAATACTTGATTGCAATGACTAAATAATGTAATGCATTATTTGATCTGAAATGTAAGCATAGATGTAAATAAGAGAAAACTGGGGATATTAACCACTTCCCCAGATAAAGAATAACAAGAACTATGGAACTATAATGGAAATTATATATACAGAATGATTCATTTATTATAAACCACACAATGTATCTTAAATAATAATAATAACTTTGAGAATACATATTTTTGATTTTATTTAATGTTATTTCTTTCTCGATTTATAAGTGACCAAACTCTATCTAATCTATAATAATGACACTAATTTTATTTTGTTTAATAGTAACATACATTTTTATTACCTTATTTAATAGAAAATAATTCAATTAAGGAAATTACTAGTCAATAACAACTTTTGAATCAGTATTTTGGAAGTTATGAACATTTTAAAACATAGGCTGGGGTGAGTTGTGAATTATGTAATTTTTATCATAATACTCTCTTCTGCGCTTCTCTTCAGGTGTTAAAAGATTCATGACTTCTAAAATACTGGTTAAAAAATTTTTAATTTTTTTGGTTAGACCATTTTTCAACTTTTATTACATTTAAACAATGCATTGAAGTACTGAGAATTTAAAATAAATTTTTATAACATAAATTACTATGTATATTCATGACAAAACTGTATTAAAACTTAAATTCAATGACTATAAATTATAAAAACCCAGCACAGTGGGGATGTGTAAGCGATATATGGTCGAAATGGGAAGTATTATTTTTGCATTACAAGTAAGTAAAATACATTTTTCCACTTACAATTTTAACACAAGCAAATATAGTCCTATTCTCTCTTCTTTCTTTAATTTTTACCATCTCTAGATTTTTTAATAGAAACGTACATATTTAATTGGCTAACAAGTAAGAAAATGACTGGTCAATAACCGCTTTTGAACTAATATTTCGAAAGCTATAACATTTTACTATAATTATTAAAAGTGAAGCGTGGGTCTATTTATTTTTATCATTAAGCATTTATGAATCACACTTCCACCGTCCAATAATACTAAAAATTTCCAAAATACTGGTTCAAAATTGTTATCGACCAGTCATTTTCTTAATTGAATTATTTTCTTATTTATAAGTAAGATAAATATGTATGTTTCCATTTAAAAACTAAATATGAAGCGGAAAGAAGAGGGGATTGAGTTATATTTTTTTCTATTAGTTTAAGTGTGTAGGATACTCACAACATTCGAAAAGAAAAATTACATTTTATCTTATAGTATTGAAGATATTACGTGAGTCATAATTAGCGGATCACCTTTTTGGTATAACCAGGAGAAGTGTTAAGGGAGCTATACCCTCTATTAACAACAATTTTCAAATACGAAGTGATGAGAAAAAAAAACAGGTCTAAATGTAGAATTTTGTAGATTTTATTTAATTTGTCACTCTCATTATGAAATTCTGGAAACAACATGGGCCTGTATTATTTATAGGCTATAGTATTTAGGCGGTTTAATATTGTTGTTAAGATTCACAAAAGTGCGTTGTATTGTTATAACTTGGACGTCACTGTGATCTGCAAATAATTTATCAACATTTTAGTACAGTGTTCAACAGCCGTGATGTCTTAAGCCACAAGAGACTTTGCAGCTTTTATAAACTTTAATTCACAAGATTGATTTACTCTAAACCATCAGTTGATTACTCTTCTTTTTCTTATAGATTGAACAGACCCAAGAAAAGTTTTTACTTGTTATTAAACCTTTAGATAAGTCAATACCATTGATTCTTCCCTTGCTTTAGAACGCATTCACTCATACTACTCTACACTTTCTATATTTATAAATTGTATGTAATTAAAAGCAACTGGATACGATAAATAGTTTAGTCATTTTCAGCCCACACACGAGTGTGAGTAGAACCTTGTATCCGTGAATTATGCCATCTTAATACCACTGCGCCCGTATTAAGTGAAAACTGCTTAATCCTTTATACCTTTTGTAAACCCTCTTTTAATGATTATATATTTTCGAACTTTTTCTTACTTGGATTAGTAAGCTCGTCAATCCCCGTTGGACATAGCTTGGGGTGGACTGATAGTAGGATCGGACTAAAAACGAAATATATGAATTATTTTTTGCGTCAAGGGAACAATAATGTTTATATTGATATACAGAGTGTTCCACAATGTTTTGAAAAATCCAATAACTTTTGATCTATTAAATACTTTCTTTTTAATTATTTTTATACTTTAGGACTATGAAAATATTGTTAAAAACAATATCTTTAAATATTTGCGAAAAATACAAAAAAAAAATATGATATTCATTTTTGATTAAAGCATAGAAAAAAATTCAATAAAAGTTATTTTGACTAGCTCGGATCGTATTTCGGACCCTGAGTGTATAACTCATTATTATTAAAATGTTATAGAAGTATAAAATAAAAAATGTGAAATCGAGATTTTAACATAAAAATAGCATATTTTTAATACGGTAGCCATTTTTACTATAAGGACAATATAAAGTTCGATTTTTCTTTTCAAATTAAAGTATATTACATAAGCTTTAATTTAAGACAATTATATATATGTCAGTATTTCTGAAACGTTTTCAAAAGTTAAGTTGAAAAAGTTCTTTTTTTGTGGAGAATTAGCCATTTTGAACCTCACCTCTGTGGACAGGTAAAGGGTCAAATGTTCACAAAAATATATCAAATAATAAGTAAAAACCTAAGGTATTCATAAAAAAAAATTATATATTGATTTGTTCATTTTTAAAAAAGTTAACATTGTTTTAAGAAAAACAAATTGAAAAAATATAAAAAATAATCGATTTTTCAAATTGTAATTTTTTGGGTGATTTCCCCCAGTTACGGAGAGCGTGAAAATTTTTTCAATTTTTGAGGGTAATGTCCTCGACTAGATACAATTTGTGATTTTTTGACGTATTGTTCATCACTCTCAAAAAATACCTCTCACTAGACCGATTAGGTCTAGTGAGAGCTGAGAATAAGTGGTAACAGACACACAAAGAGAAAAAATTATTAAAAAAAAGTACATCATATTAAAATTAATATTTTTTCAGCTTCACATCGAAGCTAATAATTGGTATTACAAAATATATTTTGCAGAACAAAACTTATTATATTCGTCAAAACATTATGGACTATTCTGTATATTAATAATTTGTGTAAAAATTGAGTTTATTCAATTTTAAACAAAAATGTTATATTCACTTGCGAAGTAAAATTTTTTAATAATATACAATATTTTACACCATAATGACGACGGTTCTCTCATTACTTTACTTGACAGATGCGATTTACTGGTGAAAAAATAATAATTATGTCGTCATAGAATTCAGACATCCTAAATATATATTAAAAATTCTTGCTATCAAGTAATGTAAAAATAATTATTAAAAAAAAATTTCATCTTGTCTAAAAAAGTTTGAAAAAATTGTGTAAAAATAGGTTTAGAAAAGTATATTTTGGTCTTTGACAAAAATTCCTTGTAGATCAGTAAATTCATTTATAAATAACAACCAACTTTTATACGCATTTGACATAAAAGTAATAACTACTTTATAATTTTTTTATAAATTCTCCGTAAAAATTACAATATTAAATTATTAAATATTAATTTTATACTATATTTAATTGCTATAATAAATATTTATTCATATATTAAACTTATAAATCATAAAAATTGTAATAAGGATATAAATAAGGAAATCATGATGCGTTTTGAATAATCCACCAATTTTTTAAATTAAACACTACTGTTTTGCTTCAAAGCAATTTTTAGTTGGACCCACTATGCCGCTACCCCACTGTGTTAAATTATTTTTGTTAATTTAAAACTAAATTTTTACTTTTTATTCTTTTATATTTTTATATTATATTATAAAATAAATACAATTATATTTTTATTCTTTTATACTTTTATACTTTTATATTAAAGATAATAAGCAAGTAGATTTTATTAAATGAAAATTGACGATTACTTGTAATTAAAAAAATATTAATTTAAAACTAAAAACCCAGCACAGGGGGGTCGCGGCACAATGGTGACGTGGCATAGTTGGATCAAGTATAATGATATCTGACAGTGATTAAAATCACTATCAAAAATAAACGCTTCGATGCAAATCTTTAGATAGTGTTTAATTTTAAAAAAATTGGTGTTTTATTCCAAAAGCTACTTGATCTGCTGGTTCCTTATTAATATCTCGATTAAGATAAAGTATGTCGAATGAAAAAGGGTTTATTAAAAAATATTATTTCTCATAAAAAAATTGTGTGGATCCATAAACTTTTCAATAAGTTATAGCATTATAAAGTTAAATATAATATAAATAATAAAATCGAGAATTTTCACACGAAAATAGCATTCGGTAGCCATTTTCGCCGTGAAGACAAGTCCAGAGGTCAAATTTTTTTTTTTCAAATTAAAGTATATTACATTAGCTTTAATTTAAGATATATATAAAAGTGTCAGACCTTCCGGAACATTTTCAAAAGTTAAGTTGAAAAAGTTAATTTTTTGTGAAAAAGTTGTCATTTTAAATCCCCCCCTGTGGGCAGATAAAAGGTCAAATTTACAAAAAAAATATACCAAATGATAGGTAAAGACATCAAGCATCTATATAAAAAAAAATTATATTGATATGTTCATTTTTGAAAAAGTTACGGCAGTTTTTAGTAAAAAAAATTGAAAAAATTTCGAAAATTAGCGATTTTTAAATTTGTAATTTTTTTGGAGGTTTCCCCCATTTACGGGGAACGAGGGAAATTTTTTCAATTTTGAAGGGTAATGTCTTCGACTAGATACGATTTGTGATCTTTTGACGTATCGTTGAAAGAAATCCGTTCGGTGAGAGCTGAGAAAAAGTGGTAACAGACACAAAAAAAAAAAAAAAAAAAAAAAAAAACACATCATAGTAAAACCAATACCTTCTCAGCTTTGCATCGAAGCTAAAAAGTCAATTTGAATAAAATGAGTTCACAATTAGAATAATTATAAAAACCAGTACAGTAATAAGTTGTTAACGATATTTGAGAGTGAATGATAACAAAAACGTTTTCACGTTTAAATCTGTGAAAATAGTTGTCAAAGTATATTTATCTAAAAAAAAAAATGATAGCACAGTGGGGTCGCGGCACAACGTGAGCGTGGCATGTGGGACTAGTATAGATAATATCTAACAGTGATTAAAATCACTATCATAAAAAACGCTTTGATGCAAATCTGTAGATAGTGCTTAATTTTTAGAAAAAATTATTGAGGTAGTCTAAAAGCAATATGAACTCTTATTTCTTAATTATATATTGCAAGTATTATGATTTATAAGTATGATACAGGAATAAATACTTATTATAGCAATTCAATTTAATATGAAATTGATATTAAAAATTTAGTAATTTTACAATGGAGTACGGTGCGATAGCTCAATGGCATTAGATATGATTATTAATCATATCTAATGATGGATCTATGGAGTTTATAATGCGACTGGTAACCTGATGCAGAAAAAGTAGATAACACAATCTAATCAACATGCACGAATAAATTGACTTAAAACATACAATACTGAAAAAGTAAAATTATTGATTGAACTAAAAATTGATGTTTATAATGGCAGTGGTCAATTAACACTGTACATTCTTGGATATCTTTGTCATTATCTAAAATGTATTGTGATACACAAATAATATTTCACATTGATCATCGCAATTGATGGCTTAGCATCCAAATTTCCCCAGTTCAAACCATCGGCTGGAGTTTTGCAATAACGAACACATTTATTTATACAAAAGTGTAAGATAATTGTGGGTAGCTGTGTTGTAGAAAAAGTTGTAAACAAACTGAAATAAACTGATTGTTTTTTCTACGAGTAGATGGACCTACAGATAGATATGAAGCTGATAGTAAATTTATCACAACTCTATTAATGATGAAAGATCGAGAATTAACTTCTTTGTTATTGGAATAAAATAAATCAAATAAATAAAATAATAAACGAAGCCAAAAAGGACTTATAGATTCATTTTAAAATATCATTCAACAAGTTGGTGTTGAAAATATAGCAAAAGAATAATTAACTAGTATAATTAATAATGGAGATAATACAAATACCGATAAAAAAGAAGATTATGGTTTCTCATGAAGCAGTATTTGGAAAAAGACCTTCTTTGTTTTTAACGCATTGTTTATAAGATGGCTTTGAAAATATCTAACCTAAAAACGAATGTTATGGAAATATCACATTAGAAGTCTAATTTGATATCTGTTGCCATTTTTAATCGAAAACCATTTAATTTTTAGGTTTACTCCTGTATAATAGTGCCACTTAGTAAAAAAATCGTCATAGTTAAGGAATTGTCTTGTATAAATTTTTTAGCATAACTTTTTGTGGTATTCTGTAAAAAGTAATATAAATTGGAACAATTATAATTTAGATACGAAGTTACAAAATTACAAATATGTTTTTATTTATTTGAAATGTTATAATGTTACCTATTATTTATTTTCTATGAAATAAAGTTGCACATAAATTGTGCTGAAATCGTTTTTTAGGATTAAACTTAAAGATGTTCGTAATTTATTATTTTATCGATTCTATAATATATTATATTGCTATTAATTAGATTAGTGGGATCTTACGTTCGACGTAGCTATATCCGGTAAGTGTCATTAAGTTGTATTTATTGCGAGATTTATAAAAAAGAAATACAATTCTCCAAATGGGGTGTAATATTGGCGAGTGTCCCATCGTGTATTTTGTTTAGGATTGTGTTTATGTTTTATTTAACATATTTATATCCATTTAACAATAATTAATTTTCTCCAAAACATATTTCTATATAAATTACTTTTTGTGTAACGCAAATAAAATAAATGTATTATGACTCTAAAAATAATAAAGTAATACTGGATTTTTTCATGGAAAAATCCTTTAAATAAAATAATTATATTTTATATTAAATATTTTATACATTTATTTAAGTATTTTCTTTAACTCCAATATTTAATGTATTTATTTAATAAATAAATACATAATTATATTGAAATCAAATATTTTTTGAGCGATAACATTAAAATTTATAAGAATATTAAGTTTTTTTCCATCTTTAGTAATTACATTATAAATTCAATAAGAAAATGGTTAGCTGATATCAATTATTTATGATATCTCAAAATTTCCAAACGAACTTAATGAAGAATAGAGATTCTATTATTATTATACTACATTTTTATACCTTAATTTTGATAAGATATTATAGATTAGTATAATATTAAACAATAAGTTATTATAATGTTATGTTTTAAAATAATACTACAAAATTTAAAGGAATATAACTCAAAAACTGTAAAAAAATACTTCTTTCAACGATAATATTTATAAAAAAAAAAACTTTAAATGTTGCATAAAATAACACGTGTTTCTATTTGATTTTTCAAAGTTAACCCTCAAAACTCCATAGATATTTTTTTTAATATGAGATTAATATTAATGAATGTATTAGTTATTATAAAATACGAAAAGAATATTTTATTTAACAAATAATTATAAAAAAATTATTAGTACCGTTTCAAGAAACATCATTTTTCTATCGACTAAGTATTGATATAATACGTTTAAGTAAAAAGTTTTTTATTAAAGTAATTTTTTAGCAGTTAAGCAAAAAAAAAAAAATAGCTTTCCAAAAATATAATTTATGATTTTTTCGAGTACACCTTGTAGTATTCCAGCATTATTTAATCTAATCAATATTATTTATTTTTAAATAAAGAAAATTGCTTAATTAATCATAGTGTCATAATATCATCATTAGATTTCTTTAATTTTTTTTTTTAATACATGCTTTTGCCGTAGGATAGTACATATATTTAGTTTTTTTCCTTCTTCCTTGATGTTCTTTTATATTAATATACTTGTATTTTAAAAGAATATCCGACAGCTGTATTTAAAATTTTTTTTTTAATCCTTAAGCTAAAGAAATTAATGAAACCACTTTTCAATGGATTTTCGTTAGTTGAAGATGTAGGGACAAGAATGATGTGAAACTTTTTTTATTATTCAGCGGCATTTACTTCGTGGTGAATAGTAGCTTTTGTACAATATCCGACATCACTTTGATCTCTCCTTTTCTCAAACTAATCTGTCATAGTTAATTATTGAATCACTGTGTTAAATTGATTGATATTCTTTATTAACTATTAATGGATGTATAGTAGTTTAAAAAGACTAATAATACAAGAAAAATATTTAATAACTATAAAATAGTATCACATTTTCCCTTAAAAAAAAGTTTTATCACAAAAATGGATCAATTCGCATAGATTTAGAAATTAAGAACAACTAGTTTGAAAATAAAATATGTCATATATTAGACTTATTACATTTTTAAAATGTAATATAACTTGATAAACATTTTCCGGATTCTTTGTAGATACTATTGTTTCATTTAAAACGTCACTATGATTAATAGGACATTACATCATTGCTCTTAGAAGTGAACGTAAGAAATGAAATTTGTAATGTATAATATCTTTTTTCGACTTCGTAATTGTCTTCAAACATTATTCTACTCAATAGTTTAGGAAATAGATAAATAACACTGTAATTGCAAGACAAAGAATAAATTATGAACTTTATGAGTTATAAATTGTAAACATTCACTGCTGAAATCGTTATTTTTGAGTTTTTTAAACATACATTATATCGTATTGTAAAACATTTATCTCGTAAACCTATACAAATAAATTAATAATGAAAAAAATGTTATTACATTTTTAAACAATTATTTTGTAAGGTCCTTTCAGCGATAATTGTGTTTATAATTTTAAAAATTATAAGAATACTCTAATTGGCGTAACTGAATGGTGGTTTGAGAGGGCTTATCCTAGAATTTTGTAAATTTTATCATTGGTTCTTTTATATTTTATTATTGTTAATTTATATTATGTTTAAGATATATTTGAGATACCTCTAGTAACATAAAATAAATAATGTTATAAAACAACTATATAATGAAACAGACACAATAATACACTACTGAAGAAGAAACACAATTTTTATTAAAGAATATTGCAAAAATTTGCAATATTATTTGACTGTTACCTCTAAATGTCCAGCCAAAGTCAACTAACATTTTAATCACCTTTATTTTTTTCCTTAATTTTGGTTTATTAGAAAATAATTTGTATAATAAACAATTTTTTTGCATTTTCAAAATTCAAATACTTTCCAAAAAAATGTATTTGATCTATCGTAATTATTTGTAAAAGAAATAATTATTAAATATAATTGTCTTTATTACTTGACATCTAACGTTAAGTGCCAATTAAGACATGTACAAAATTTCGGCTACATATAAGATAGTGATTAATAGAGCTCGGAATTTAATGCATTTACAAAGTTCATTTTAGTGATCCCTTGTTTGTCAATGATAAATAGATATTCCTTTTTATTTTTCTTCACACTAGACAATATATAATAATTAGGAAAATAATTATGAGAGTTATGCGTAGGGATCAATCGCCTAGAATAAATAATATTCTTATGTTATTGCATTTACCAATGATAATTTTTCAGAGTTGGGCTTTTTGGAAGGGGTCCAAACAAATTTGATAAATGCATTATTTCCGAGTATTGGTAAAAAATAACATGAAATATTGAATCATAGAATTGTGCTTAGTTCAATATAGTTTTCAAAATGTTAGATCAATATATTTCTTTGTTGGGTAAACTTACCTGTACGTTGTAAACAATTAACTCTATTTTAAATGCGCGGTCACATAAGTTGTAGATATTCTAGATACAGTAACAGTTTTATTTTAATTTGGGCTTAAAGTAAAATAAAATAAAAGTAAAGTTGAAGTAATAACAAAAGATTTTCTCATACAACTAAAAGGGTAAGTACATTTGAATCCAGCATTATAGTATCAATCATACTACTTGATATATAAAAATAAAGTTTTGTAATGTAAGTTGTCAGTCTTAATATAGCTAACCCGATAGATGCTTCAAGTAAAAATAAATAGGAGTGCTCAGAGGATGGAAAAATTGAATAAATTAAATTTAAGAAAGAAAAAATGTACGAAACTAACATATTTTGTTAACGATAACGTGTTTTGGGACAAAACACGTTATTTCTTTATTATATAAAGCAGAACAAGAAAACGTATGCATAGTGTTTTAATCAAAACGTTTAAAACTATAAATTTTATTCAAACGTAATTAAAAAATGAAAAACAAATAACCAAAAATATATGATATCAATAAACGTAAAATATCGTTAAATATTATACAACTTAAAATAATATTTATTAAAACAAAAATAATTTCTTTTCAAACATAATATTTTAACAAAATCTATGTTAGAAAAAAATGGTCATTTGTCCATGTTAAAAACTACTAATGGTAGTGAACTATGTTTCGAACCCTTTTAACGTTAAACGTAAAAATTTAGTTATCTTAAAATGTCTAACAAGAAAAGTTGTAGCATTTCTAATATTAAAAATATTAAGCATAAAATTTATATAACGTTAAACTTAATTTATATTATATATAAACGTTAAATAAATTTTTTTTTTATTCTAAACTCTGATATAAAGTAGAAATAAACCAATCACTCCAATCGCGACTTTTATTTTTAACTTTTGGTCAATATTTCTTAGTAAGAAAAAAATCACTCACCCACCTCTGGGTTTGAGAGAATTCAATTAATTTTCAAATCAAAACTTTGTTTTTACTATTTATAGAAAAGTTTGACTTGGTGGATATCTAATAAAGAAAATGGCAAGTGAAATAGAAGATACACTTAAACGAATTCAATCTCATCGTGGCGTTATAGGTACAATTGTTGTTAACAGTGAAGGTATGTTTTATAATAATATAAATTAAAAATAAATAGAACAATCAATTTTGGGTAAGACATTTATTAACTCAGAAAATATTGAACACTTTTAATTTTTGACATGAGAAAAATTATTCGGTGCAAAAACTTTAAATTATTGTCTAGCCAAAAAGTTTTTTCTCATCCTTTGTGGTATAAAAAAATCTTCACTTGAATTTTCTAAAACGGGAACCTCCAAATTAAAAAATAACTTTAATATATAATGTTTGATAAAGGGCACCTTTAACAAAAACCTAGTGGAAAATATGGTGCACTATGATCGAACAATAGCACACACAAGCGGAGGCGCTCACACAACAGACATTCGTTGAGGACTGACAGTGGACTGTTTACGGATGAAAATTGACACATAGACCACCGATTTGCCGTGATTGGTGGTCGATGGGTAGATAAGTAAAGATTCTAGTGATCAGTTGTCACGCGATATGATGTACTCAACTGGTCCACTAGGTCTTTGTTAAAGGCGGCCTCGACCAAACAAATAACTTAGTAATATGATAAAAAAAAAAAAAACCCAGCACAGTGGTGACGTGGCATAGATGGATCAAGTTAATGATATCTGACAGTTATTAAAATCACTATAAAAAAAAAAACGCTTCAATGCAAATCTTTAGATAGTGTTTAATTTTAAAAAACCCAGCACAGGGGGGTCGCGGCACAGTGGTGACGTGGCATAGATGGATCAAGTATAATGATATCTGACAGTGATTAAAATCACTATAAAAAAAAAACGCTTCGATGCAAATCTTTAGATAGTGTTTAATTTTAAAAAATTGGTGGACTATTCCAAAAGCTACATGATCTGCTAGTTCATTATTAATATCCTAATTAAGATAAAGTATGTCGAATGAAAAAGGGATTATTAAAAAATATTATTTCTTATAAAAAAATAATGTTGATCCATACACTTTTAAATATGTCATAGCATTATAAAGTTAAAAATGTAAAAAATAAAATCGAGAATTTTCACACAATAATAGCATTTGGTAGCCATTTTCACCGTGAAGATAAAATAAAGTCCGAAATTTTTTTTTTCCATAATAAAGTATATTACATTAGCTTTAATTTAAGATATATATAAAAGTGTCAGA